TCTCCCTGTGCCAATGTGGGTTACCTCCATGTAGTCCAGTTTCCCTCCCACACTCCAAAGTCATGTAGGTAGGTAAATTGGCTCCTGTCTAAATTGTCCCTAGTATGTGTATGTATGAATGTAAGTTAGGAACCTTAGATTGTACACCCCTTGAGGGTTAGGGACAGGGGTGGACTGACCATTCGAGCACTTGGGCATTAGCTGAGGGCCCGGGGTCAGTAGGGGGCCCCATGAGATGCCCCTGGTACCTTTCATTGGCTTTTTCATAGGCTTGTTTGGGTGTTGGCAAGGACACAAGCGCCCCATGATCCCCTATTGCCTGGGGGATCCATGAGTTGTCAGTCCACCCCTGGTTAGGGATTGATGTGAATGTGCAATATACGGTTGTGCTCAAAAGTTTACATACCCTGGCAGAAATTGTGAAATTTTGGCATTGATATTGAAAATATGACTGATCATGCCAAAAAATGTTCTTTTATTGAAGGATGATGATCATATGAAGCCATTTCTTATCAAATAGTTGTTTGGCTCCTTTTTAAGTCATAATGATAACAGAAATCACCCAAATGGCCATGATCAAAAGTTTACATACCCTGGAATGTTTGGCCTTGGTACAGACACACAAGGTGACACTCATGGGTTAAAATGCCAATTAGAGGTTAATGTTCCACATCTGTGGCTTTTTAAATTGCAATTAGTGTCTGTGTATAAATAGTCAATGAGTTTGTTAGCTCTTACGTGGAAGCACTGACTAGGCTAGATACTGAGCCATGGGGATCAGAAAAGAACAGTCAAAAGTCCTGCGTGGAGATAGGAGTGACATTGCAAGTACCCCCTCAAATAGGAGCTTCATTTCTAGTAAGATACTTTATATGGGTACAATATATATGTAAAGCGCTGCATAAATTGACGGTGCTATATAAGTACCTCTAATAAATAAATAATAAACTATGTTCTGTTTCTCCAGGTGACAAAGTACTACCTGTTAGCTTCCTAGTGCAGTCTAAGGCTGGCCATACATTATACAATTTTCTGGAGATTTTTGGTTTAGATTTACCAAAAACCATATAATAGGAGGTTAAACCTAACAACACTTTCAATTGTATCCAATTAGGCAGGCTCTTGCACTACATAGTTGAAGGTAAATCTAAAGGAAATTGGACAGAAAATTGTATAGTGTATGACCAGCCTAAACAAGGTCTCAGGTGTGGCGTTCAGTTGCATGGTGCCTGTGGTCAGTAGGAGGAGTAGTACTCCATCATTGCTATTACTGGAAGGAATATTGGCCCATCATTGATGTTAGTGGATGGAATAGGGCCCCATCATTGATATTAGTGGATGGAATAGGGCCCCATAATTGATATTAGTGGATGGAATAGGGCCCCATCATTGATGTTAGTGGATGGAATAGGGCCCCATCATTGATGTTAGTGGATGGAATAGGGGCCCATCATTGATATTAGTGGAAGAAATATTGGCCAATCATTGATGTTAGTGGATGGAATAGGGGCCCATCATTGATGTTAGTGGAAGGAATATTGGCCCATCATTAATGTTAGTGGATGGAATAGGGCCCCATGCTTGATGTTAGTGGATGGAATAGGGCCCCATCATTGATGTTAATGGAAGGAATAGGGCCCCATCATTGATGTTAGTGGAAAGAATAGGGCCCCATCATTGATGTTAGTGGATGGAATAGGGCCCCATCATTGATATTAGTGGAAGGAATATTGGCCAATCATTGATGTTAGTGGAAGGAATAGGGCCCCATCATTGATGTTAGTGTAAGGAAAGGAATATGGATGGAATAGGGCCCCATGCATTGATGTTAGTGGATGGAATAGGGCCTCATCATCGATGTTAGTGGATGGAATAGGGCCCCATGCTTGATGTTAGTGGATGGAATAGGGCCTCATCATCGATGTTAGTGGATGGAATAGGGCCCCATCATTGATGTTAGTGGATGGAATAGGGCCCCATCATTGATGTTAGTGGATGGAATAGGGCCCCATCATTGATATTAGTGGGAAGAAGTGTCCCATTCCTGGTGTCAGTTGGGGGAATTATGCCCCACTTTTGGTGTCAGTGTTAGGAATAGTGCCCCAAGAACCAGATAAAGGCTAGCAAAGGGCCGCAGTTTGGAGACCACTGTTATAACCTATGCAGGGTTCTTCTCTTTTTTCCCATCTACCAACCAATTTTTCTTGCAAGAAATTTAATTACAAAGTAGATGAATGACCTTTTAAGATGGTGCTTCTGAAAAAATAGGATCTAATCATTTTGTGTAGGTACTGGTGTCTTAAATTACTTTTATATTAAGCAGACTCCGAGTATATTAGGTGCTAGTTTGAAATAATATCAGGTATAATTAAAAATTATATTAAATTTATTCCACCTTTTCAGCAGTCAGGCATTTCATGGGTAGCAAGATAAACACAAATATCCCATTATTGTAATACAAAGGAGAAAATGATCAGGGTTGAAGTTGTTGTAGTGTATCAGTGTTACCAGTACAGAAGCCCATATATCAGCTGTGTATAGCAAATGTACACGGCTTTTTATTTTTCTTAATGCTTCCAAACTGGAGTTTGGTTTTAAGTAAGCAATGTTTGAATTCTGCAATGGATCCCAAGATGAGCAAATAAAGCAGTTTTTTTTCTGCCAGGAGAACATTTGAGAACACCAGGCTGTGAAAATTGAACTCCACCCAAAGGACCACTCAGCCGTTCTGTTGTCTCACCTGTGATGTACTTTTCTGAACTGCATTATGTTATTGATGTTACACTGGATGCTGACATGTAGTGGTAGTTCAGCATTACTACAACTTGTTTATTTTGTACTTGGTGTTTCCCTCTGTTCTCTCCACCCATTTTAGTGCTAGTTAGTTCAATCCTAGCCAGGGGTGGACTGATCATTTGGAAACTCGGGCACTGCCCGAGGGCCCGGGGTCAGTAGGGGGCCCCATGAGATGCCCCTGGTACCTTTTTTTCATAGGCTTTTTTGGGTGTGGTTTGAGTGTGAGCGAGGATACAGGGGCCCCATGAACCCCTGTTGCCCGGGGGCCCCATGAGTTGTCCGTCCACCCCTGGTCCTAGCTAGACCCTACCTGCTTCTTCCATGTTGCTTCAGTCAAAAAATCCTAAAGTGATTGTAACCCTTTTTTAAGACAAATCTTAAAGTGATTGTAACCCTTTTTTCAATTCAAATAACAAACATGTTATACTTATCTATTCTGTGAAATGGTTTTGCACACAACAGCCCTGAACTTCCTCTTCCCGAGTGTCCTGCCATCTCTGCTGTCTACTCCCCTCTTCCAAGTACCCCCCAGAGCAAGCCTCAAGGGGTTAATTGGATTAACAAAATAAATAAATACATTTCTCTAATAATGCTTTAGGCTTGATAATATATTTATAATAGAGAAGCACCTGAAGCTCTTATGTATGTGGTTCCCAAAAAGATGCTAAAAGGGGTTTTTGCCTTCTCCTACTATAGCGAAATTGTTTTTTTTTATATTTTTATTTCTGTTTTGCTGTTGTAGATGTTTAGAATAAAGATCAAGTGACCTGCCTGTAGGTTGCTACAAACCCAACTCAATATAGAAAAAAAAAAACCTAACATATAAAATATGTTTTTATTGGGTTGTTTGTATATCATGATCATGGATAATAAAAAATTTGGGATAAGGACATCGATTGTGTATGTTTTTTTTTTTTTACATATTTTGGATACATTTTAGATATTTTTTTCCTTTGGCATATATTTTATAGAGCTGGGTTAGGTCCATGGCAGTCCACTTGTTCTTTATACTTAGGCCGCATTCACATCTGTGTGTAACAGAAACTCACATTCCTATTTGCTTCTTTTATGCAGTTTTCACACGTTAAAGAGCGCCGCACATAGGTGCCGCGCATAGGCCCTACGCATGATAAATGCCCCAAAGATGTCCCTTTGTTTTTTTTGGAGCGGAGCATGGTGTTTTCTTACCACACCCTTTGGTGTATTTGCAGCACGTTTTTTGTGCGTCAAACATGAGCACACTACCAGCGCTTGGGGTGCCATGAACATTTTAATGGCAAAGCAAACGTGATGCACGTTTGCAGTGCATTTCTGAAACGTATGGCAAAACGTGCAATTTCTGTACATGATCAGAAACGTGGAGATGTGAATGGGGCCTAAATATTGTGTTTTTTACCATCTGGACTTTTTTGGGGAGGAATTGGTGGCTATTGACTGTGTATTTCATGTTAATGGTGTCCTTCTGTTTTTAATATTTCACCACTCTATCCAAAACTAAAGTGCTTATAAATCCTTAAATAAACCCAGTGAAGGTCAGGTGATACAGAGAGTAAACAAATCCTACTACATAGGTTATACCTGTTTATCTGCAGCCATCTCTCCTCTACATCCATTCAAAGTGCAGAATTTACACAGGATCTCTCAGCAATAAATAGAAGGGGCATTGAGCTAAAGTTAGATCAGTGAGGAGAGCTCTGAGAGCTGATTAAAGGGAAAGCGCACCCCCCCCCCCCCCCCCCATTCACACAGCACAGCTGAACAGAGCTGAGGTTGTCGATTTGCTGTAGGTCCCTCCCCATTACAATTTTTCTCTTGGTGTTAGGAAAACCTTTCAGAAGTGTCAGTTAGTGCTCTTAAAGTGGAGTTCCACTCAGCACTGTCACACTTTGAATGACAATTGCGCGGTCATGCAACACTGTACCCATATGAATTTTTATCATTTTTTTGAGACAGAGCTTTCTTTTGGTGGTATTTAATCACCTCTGGGTTTTTTATTTTTTGCTAAACAAACCAAAAATAACTGAAAATTTTGAAAAAAACATGCTTTTTTCTTAGTTTTTGTAAAAAACTTTTTTATAAAATTTTGTAAATAAGTGATTTTTCTCCTTCACTGATGTGCGCTAATGAGGCTGCAGTGATGGGCACTGATAGGCTGCACTGATGAGGAGGCACTAGTAGGTGGCACTGATGGTCATTGAGCGACATCACTGATGGGCACTGAAAGGCAGCACTCATATATGGCACTGATTGGCACCACTGATAGGCGGCACTGACTGGCATTGATAGGTGACACTGAAAGGAAGCTCAGATGGGCACTGATATGTGGCATTGATGTGCACTGGTAGGCACTGATATGTGGCATTGATGAGGCACTGATGGGCACTGGCAGGTGGCATTGATGAACACTGACAGCTGCACTGATGGACACTGACAGTTGGCACTTCTGGGGCCCACACTGATCATCAGGGCACACTGATCATCAGTGCCCTGATCATCAGTGCCCATGTGCCCTCCGAGGAATGCTGGTTACCGACTCTCTTCTCCTCTCGAGCTGTCAGCGTGACAATTCGTGAGGAAAGAAATGCTGATAACCGGCATTTCCCTATTTACATGTGATTGGACACAGCTGGTCACATGACTGAGCCGACATCTGCGGCTCTTTCTGTTGATTTGTGATCCGCTGTGTCCAAGGGACACAGCGCACCGCCGATCACCGCACTGCGCGCTCTTGGAGCCACGCATGCGCAGTTATAGTGGGAGGACGTCATATGATGTCCTCCCAGAACGAGAGAACCGCCTTGTGCCTGTCATTACCTTATATGGCGGGCGGGAGGCAGTTAATGGTGGCACAGGAAAATTAGGTCTCATGCCCTGCCAGGTTGGACTGTGCTGTGTGGCAGAGCTGTGCAAATCTCAAGGTTGAGTGGACAAAAATACAAATCTGTTGACAGGTAAAAAGCATATTTCATCTGTGTATTTAGCTGCTTCCCTGGAGTTCAGCTTTAACATTTCACATAAATTAGGAAGTCCACTATTTAAAGATTGCTGGCCATAAGGAAAATACTGTACATATAAATGGATTATAACTACATGGGGAAATGTAATGTTATCTGCTATGCCCATCACATCTCTTCCTTGGATGTACACAAAAACACGCAGCATAAATAGTCATCAAACAACACAATCCTATTTACCTTAAAGCTGAAAATGAGGCAATTTTCTGTTCATTGCCTTTCTGCAGTCTGTTTGTGATTGAGAAAATCTATTCTTTTGAAGAGAAGGTTCTGAAGCCTTCAAGCAACAGATATTGAGTGTTCTAATCTTCCCCAAATCCCACAGCACTCCTATGGTTTCCTATAAAGCTATTTCATCCAAGTAAAGGCACAAGCGTCTAAAAGCCCATAGATGGTGCGGTGACGGTGGCACCATACCAATATGGAGGACAACTTGTAGTCCAAACATACGTAAAAACGGAACGTTGGATACAGGTTATCTACGGGTCAATCAAATTATCACTCTGCACACTAGCTCTGGTTTGGTAGTACTCCACAAAATTGGGTCACCACTTGAAAACGGCAAAGAGTTGAGAATCCATGTCTATACAGTCCAATGAGAGTGCCAACAAATACCCAAGGGTCCAAAGGGTTTTTTTTTTTACAATAAAATTGGTTCATTGCAGAAAAGAAAATGATGGGTTTCAGAGTCAATTTACGTAAAATTCCAGAGCCCTGATGAAAGAGGAGTCTGTTTGGTCCCAGAAATGTGTTGGATTTTTTTTTTTCTGCTATGAATCAATTTGATCATGAAACATTTGGGCTTTTTGAACATGTGGTACTCACCAAACTGTCTAAACTTGTAGACAGTGACTGCTTATTGTTATCAGGGGAAAGGGGAGGATGAGTTTGGATGAACCATGGAGAACGGACCTTCAAAAACAAGTCAACAATGACTAAAAGGGTCCATGTAGACACAGTAAAACTAAGGCACCCTAGCTAATTTGAAGTATAAGTTCCAGACAACCATCATATGTTTCCTGAAAGTTTAACAGCATTAGACTGCCTATTCAGTAGCTCTGATCAAACAGCCATTGTTGGTGAAAAGTCCAGGTAGATATAATAGGTCGTCTTGGAGATAAAAAACTCTGAGATGAAAAAAAAAACAAAGCACATTCCTATATAGTGTGTACTTGTCTCAATCCAGAGAACTAAATGTCATTTGTGTCTGCTGCCTTCTTCCTATGCTATCTGCATGAGTCACCTCTGGCAAGAGGGAGCTCCAGCACACAGACAGTGATTGAAAACCTCAGCTCTGTTCCTGTATGCTGTGTGAAAGGGGTGTGTCTCTGCTCTCAGAGCTCCTCTCAGTGAGCTCTGCAGAATGGAACTTCAGCTCCCTGCACCCCTGCTTTCTTAAAGCTCAGACAAGCTTTATAAATTCTGGATTTTGGAAGACGATTTTAGAGGTACAACTTTGTAGATTTGTTTAAACGTGTCACCTAACAACACATTTGTGCCACTTTTTAGGATACTTATTGAATTTAATTTTAAAATATAGTGTATCATCTTCCTAATTTGGCCTATATGTTGTTTGTGTGTGTTGTATGTGTGTGTGTATGTATGTGTGTGTGTATGTTATATATATATATATATATATATATCATTAAATTACAAATATAATTGTTAACTTTTTGTTAATATCACTCAAAAAAAATTTTTCATCATTTTTAAACTGCAGATTTCACAAAAAATAATACCTGGTGATCCTACCATGGAGGTAATTTTGTCCCACTTATACTGTATGTATTTTTTCTGTGTTGCATTGAACTGGGTTGTTATTGTTTGTTGGTATGCTGAAATCTAGTGGTGACTTTGAGGCACTACAACTTGTTTACCTATGTGATTTGGCACTTCTTCTGTCCTCTCCTGTTTAGTGCTAGTTGATTCAGTCCTAGCTAGACCTGCCCTGTTTTTTCCATGTTCCTTAGTCAGTTAGTAGTTTGCAAAGGCTTAAATCAGGAAAGTCTTTATCTTCTTACACTTTTCAAATGACTGGAAAAAACATCCTTCATACTGCAATTAGCTGAAGTAAAATTACGCCAAATTCAACTTTTGTGTCTTATTGAAGAGTTGAGCTGCCTGTGGATGGTGCCACGTCAGCAGGTGACAATACTGTCTGGACCAACTAGGTCTAAGGGGGTATGTCAATGCATTAAGGGGCATTTGAAACACAACAAAGGTCCCTGTTCAGGCGTTTACTGTTATAGAGTGACAATGCTTCCGATGAATACTACAAGTGGCCATTTCAGCACGCGTTAGTGAAGCATGTCCCATCGTTGTCACCATCAGGAAGCCTGCCAAGAGCATTGACATGTAACCAATGCTGGAATAATTGCATGTAGACAGGAAGTGTCTGTAAAGAGGCTGGAGGAAATCAGTAGCACTCAGATGCAACAAAGGATGAAAAAGGTGAAAACAAGTGTTTTGTATCAGAGAAAGAAATGCAGGTGTTTATGCTCAGTGCTTTAGTAAACACAATGTCATCTTTTAGGGGTTACCTCTACTTTAACTTCTTTAAACTGACATGTTAATTTTGCGCAGTGCTGTTAGTCACACTTAGGCTAGATTCACACTAGTGCGGTGCGGTACATCGCATGTGATTCACACAGGAAACGACGAACACAGCATTCCTGTGCAAATCAAATGCGATTTTTGTGCGGTGCAATTGGAGCCATACATTATGTATGGCTCCAATTGCACCACACCTGCACCTAAAATGTGCAGGACCCTTTTTTGGGTCCACACTAGAATCAGATCGCAAGGGTATTCACACCTATGCGATCTGATTCTGCACATCGCACCTGCATTTTGCAGGCTGATTTCAGGGTGTTGTTAACTTAACATACACACCTGCATCGGTTCGCATGAACGGGGTGCGATTCTGATGCGGTGCGGAATTAGCACAGAAAAAGCTACAAATTCTGCACGGCATCAGTGTGAACCCAGCCTGAAAGAAGGACAGAGTAAAATGACAACCTCTGTCAGGGAACATGTTGTACTGCTTGGGGAAAACTGAGGTCACCAACCAGGCTGTATTGTCCAAGCACTTGTTAAAAATCGCTAAAACAAGTGACTGCATTGTGTTTCTGTTTTGAAGCCTTTATTTGAAAATGTGTTAATGCATGCATTTTCTCTCTTTGAAATACTAAGCCTTTTATAAAACCTCAGTGATACATATTGCACAGGGGTTTAGTTTTAATGCTTTATTCACTGTTCTGAACAGAAAAATTATCTCCTTCAGTAATTATATGAAACATACTGTATCATGGCGCTGACAAGTACTGGTGATGGAAGGCTGCAGTATGTGTTTATCTCTGTTAACGACAGATATGTCACAGCACAACTGTTTTCCCTGAATTGGCATTTTTATATTTGTAATATCTAAAGAATTGGTGCTCATTTTGTTTATATATATATATATATATATATTTATATATATATATATATATATATACTATATTGCCAAAAGTATTGGGACCCCCCTCCAAATCATTGGATTCAGGTGTTCCAATCACCTCCCTAGCCACAGGTGTATAACATCAAGCACCTAGGCATGCAGACTGCTTCTACAAACATTTGTGAAAGAATGGGTCGCTCTCAGGAGCTCAGTGAATTCAAGTGTGGTACCGTGATAGGTTGCCACCTGTGCATAAGTCCATCTGTGACATTTCCTTGCTACTAAATATTCCACGGTCAACTGTTAGTGGTATTATAACAAAGTGGAAGCAACTGGGAACAACAGCCACTCAGCCACTCAGCCACCAAGTGGTAGGCCACATAAAATGACAGAGCGGGGTCAGCGCATGTTGAAGCGCACAGTGCGCAGAAGTCGCCAACTGTCTGCACAGTCAATAGCTAAAGACCTCCAAACTTCATGTGGCCTTCAGATTAGCACAACAACAGTGCGTAGAGAGCTTCATGGAATGGGCTTCTAGGGACGAGCAGCTGCATCCAAGCCTTACATCACCAAGTGCAATGCAAAGCGTCGGATGCAGTGGTGTAAAGCACGCCGCCACTGGACTCTAGAGCAGTGGAGACATGTTCTCTGGAATGACAAATCACGCTTCTCTGTCTGGCAATCCGATGGCCCCTTAGTTCCAGGGAAGGAAACTCTTAAGGCGTCAGCATACCAACACATTTTGGACAATTTCATTCTCCCAACTTTGTGGGAACAGTTTGGGGATGGCCCCTTCCTGTTCCAACATGACTGCACACCAGTGCACAAAGCAAGCTCCATAAAGACATGGATGAGAGAGTTTGTAGTGGAGGAACTTGGCTGGCCTGTGCAGAGTCCTGACCTCAACCCGACAGAACATATTTGGGATGAATCCAAAAGGCTGACTTGTGGCTCTGAGGAAGAGGCTAGTCCTCAGCCTTTTGGATGTCCAGAGTTTTCATTACAGGCAGACACGCAGTGAGAATTGGACAGAGCTGTTCCTTCATGATGTGCCTTTTATTTATCGACTATTTGTGAGTACAATACATATTTTTAACATTCAATAAACATACTTTTAAGGTAATGCACTAGGCTGGTGCGGCCTCTGTTTGTTTCTCTCTATTCAGTATATTTGGACTCCCCCCTGTCCTTTGAGGGCAGCAAGGCGTGCATATTCCAAGAATTGCGTTATGTGGTCCTAATGACATTGAGCCCATCCCTAAGCA